TTATTTGGCAGTACCTTTTGCAACTAAAGTTAACCATTTTTTATAATACGCTTAATGAAAATTTTAAAAATAAATGTCCTTTAACCAAAGAAAATTAAACAAAGTAAATAGATAAATAATTATTTTTAAAACTTTTAACTTAAGTTAACAGTTTGTTATAAGTCTAATGATCTAACAAAAAAAGTATTACTTAAACTTTTTAAATCTTTACCAAGTAGGAGGCCCTTGATAGGTCGGGGCCCAGGGCTCCAGCCCATAATGCCCATGCCTAAATCCGCCCATGGATACTATGTTGAGATAAGGACATTAGGTTTCGCTATATCACTTCACAGAGATGCTATTGTTCCATAGTGTGGTTATTGGCTACGGTTAAATATCTGCATTAGATTATATTTTTCCATGTTTCTCTCCCCTTTAAAGGCATTTGAATTCTCTCTACCAGAGATATGTCGTTGCTGTAGTTTATTTATATAAAATCGTATCCTCGTTCAATAGTTCGAAGATGCGTGGTAAGGTAAACAAATAGTACAACACTTCGTCATAAAATGACGATCTCTATTATAACTATTTTACCTGAGTACAAAATGTTTTGAATATTGATAAAAACACCTAAATTATATGAAATATGTTTATCTGTTTTTCATGTTATTTTATTCACTTATTATTTATACTGTATTCTTGTGATTATGACCCATATGACTATGTTTTTATTTTGTATTTTATTTTTATTTGAACTGTGTAAGTCGCCAGGGTTTTTATGGTCCCTTTTCCCTGTGCTTTGACTCAACGGGCAACCCCTTTGTCTTTGCTTAAATTAAATCAGGGGTTTAAAATTAAATACTTGTGTTTCATTAAACCTGACCAATTTCAAAATAACGTTATTATCAATGTACAGGGTGGTCCACGTAAGGTGACCCATATACTTATCTCAGAAACTACTGGAGTCACAAAAAATTTGTAAGAATCAAATATTCACGAAGTAAAAAATATTTTTAAAATATTATATTTTCATTTATACAGGGTGTTCGGTTTTCCTTGGGACGATACCAACTTTCTTATTTTCAATGGAACACCCTGTATTTTTTTGCATTTTTGGATTCTACACACTCTTTTAGGTATACTTTGTAAATATATTAATTAAGAAAATGTTAATACTTTTTGAGTAAAATTAAGATTTATTAAAATTTCTCTAAATGTAGACACTTGCTAAAAGTTAAAAATAATCAACTAAAAGTTATTATTTTTTATATTATGTAGTATCCATCTCTTTAATAATAAGTAAGCTATAAGTTAATTATTATATTTTTTGGAAAATATCTAACTAAGGTAATTGGAAAAAAGCTACTAATTGTGAAAAATGCGAATATTTTTTTTTCTGTTAGGTTTAGGTATAGGACATATATATATAAAATGAAAGGTAATTACTTATTCTATCCAATTATGCAAAAATATATAGGGTGTTCCATTGAAGAAAAACAAGATTTTAAACTTTTAAAATCGCTATTTTCAACGGGACATAGAAAACACCCTGTATGATATTTTACAAAAAATATAATAATTAACTTATAGCTTACTTATTATTAAAGAGATGGATACTACATAATATAAAAAATAATAACTTTTAGTTGGTTATTTTTAACTTTTAGCGAGTGTTTACATTTAGAGAAATTTTAATAAATCTTAATTTTACTCAAAAAGTATTAACATTTTCTTATTTAATATATTTACAAAATATACCTAAAAGAGTGGAAAGAATCCAAAAATGCAAAAAAATACAGGGTGTTCCATTGAAAATAAGAAAGTTGGTATCGTCCCAAGGAAAACCGAACACCCTGTATAAATGAAAATATAATATTTTAAAAATATTTTTTACTTCGTGAATATTTGTTCCTTACAAATTTTTTGTGACTCCAGTAGTTTCTGAGATAAGTATATGGGTCACCTTACGTGGACCACCCTGTACGTAAATAAACGTAGAGTCCTAATTTTTATAAAGTAAGTAAATTATCTAGACGATCACGATTATGCCAAAACAAGTATTTCAGTATACTTAAAGAATCGGGTTACGAAAATACATAGTGTACCTTACATAGTGTACTTTACAGTTGCTGCACCATTGGACTGCCCCCTTTTTCAATAATTTCTAGAGGCATAAATGACTATCTGAATATAGAAAATCGAATGTATCTTGTAAGACACCATTAAAGTTGACTAACTATGGTCGTGCATAGGTAGAGGCGAAAAATATAAAAACAAATCACGATTCAATACAGTTCTAATAAAACTTTAAGATTTAGTATTCAAACGGGGAGTCATCCTATACAATTTAATTAGAATTTTTTAGTAGCTATAGTACTTATAAATGTATATATAGTTAAAATGCGTCTTTTTTTCTAAGAGAATAATTTAATAATAACAATATGAGTCTTTTTGGCTTAGGACGGCAGGATAGTCAATACTTACAAATTGGTTACATTTCCGCGCCCAACAACAAAACATTTCACAACCATTAACACGTTTTATCACTTTTAAGGCGCAAAAATGTATTTAATAATTCAAAAATTATGATCGACATCAATAATTATGATTGACATTAACATTTGCAAATAGCGTTTGTACAGATGTCTGCTATTTACAAATAGATATAGTGCAGGTATTGTAGCTCTAGAGGGCAGTGATGGGAGAGTTTCCAATCTATGAGGTGTATTATCTTTGCGCATCGCCACTCTTCCATACCCCACTCGACATGACTGCGTGCAAATTCCAAGCGCTGTTTGCCCCAGACAGCACATATATCCATTGGACGTCCAGCTGTATGGGGCGATAAGCTACATCCAAAAGACGGCCAGTGGAAGCAGTATGAGGAGTTAAATTTTGCTTTATTAACCTTATTAATACCATACGTGACGAAACTAAGGTCCCATGAACGTCTGCAAGTTTTCTACTCAAGGCTGTAGCAGGAAGTGTCCGATCTCGCAGTCGAAGAAAACGGCCTTTAACTGCGTTTGTTGATCGTGGTCTTTCTTGTCCAGGCAATCTTGAGTAGGAACCAGTTTCCTTAAACCTTTGTATCGCATCAGATACTGTACTTCGCGGTAAATTTATCAATTTGGCGATATATCGGATGCTGTGTCCTGCAAAAGCTTGAGCAGCTTCCTCCGGAGTCATGACGAATTTTTTACAATAATTCAAAATTATACACCTCTAACACTATTATTTTCTTAAAAAAATATTCGAAACTGGAAGCAACCAGCAATTAAATTGAATTGTAGAGCTCTGTGAAACGTACACGATTTGAAAAAATTGCTAAAAAAGTGTAATATTTGAAAGCCTAAAATATTTAATTTCATTTGTTTGCATTTATGTATGGTTGTTAAATTATTATACAGTGCGTTTTATAAATTTTGTGGTGGAAAAATGAAGTGTCCGGTTAATGTTGTCATCGAGTGTAGTTCTGGAGGATCCTATGATGTGGAGGCCCGGGGCTGCAGCCCCGTTCGCCCCCCCTTAATCGGGCCCTGATTATAGTAACAAACATTCCATGTAAATAATTTAAAGAAAAATACATATTCACATTGTTTTTAAAATTAATGGTTTCTATTACACAGAAAAAACGCTAGCATAGCATGAATGGGTGAACCATTAAACCAATGGGATCTTGTAATCCGTATTCCTGAATAACAGTTCCTATAATCGTTTACTGTTTTTAAATTAACAACAAAAGTTATCGCTCCTAAATCTACTGATATTTATATTGATATTTATTTTCATTTTATGTTAGAATGTTATTGCATTAAATACTAATTTGATTTATTTAATAACGTTACTACATTTAACGCAATAAATTCTTTGACATTTAGGCAAAATTTTTCCCTATTTTGGTTTAATAGTAATTAATTGAGCAAATAACAATTTAGATTGCATCAATTTTAATGCATTCAATGACAGCGGTGTTCTTGGTACTATGTTAGATTTTTCTATGTGTAGGTACCTATACCTTCTTTATTAATTTGCGTTAAAACTTAAGTTAAGATGATATCCGTCGTAATATAATTTAATTCAATTGTCAGTGCAGGAATAAGAATATCATCAATATTGAAAATCACCTGCGCACCCGGGTATACATTCGGGTGCCCAGGTTATTATTCAAATGGTAACCTATTAAATTTAAAATGGCCAAATGGCTTGATACGAATTTACTCTTTTCGGCAACAAGTAATATTTTGCCCTAGTCACACAATATTTGTTGCAAAAGTAAACATTTTAACTATATTTAAAACGTTTAATTTTGAAAATATTACATTAAATTCAAAGATATATCTTTGTTTAGGCACTGGTTTTGTTCATTATTGACTAGATTAAACACATTTGGACTTAAATGCATGTAATAAGGTATATTAAATCCCATTATGAACTGAATATTTTAAATACAATAGGGAATACAATTATTTATTTTATAAATACCTATCTTTTATCTAAATTTAAAAATATTTCCTATTTTTACACATTAAATTAAAAAATATATTGGTACTAGGGGTGTCAATCCAGAGCAATTTTTTCAATCCTGGGACTTAAGGGACTTTTTATTTTGTCATTAAAATCAGTCGTGGCCACCCGTGAAACATGAGACTTCTCGGAACAATTTTTTTCATTTTGAATGTAGGTAAACCACACAGTTAAGAAAACACTGTCTAATTTGTTGCGGTGTTAAAACTACTACAATTACTTGTATAACAAAAGTATTTGTAAAAGAAACAAGTAATTATATTTAAGGGCTAAATTTACAACAATATTTTTACCTGTTGTGCGGCATTATTCGGTGAATAATAATTATTATAATAATAAAATAATTACCAATGAATGCCATTAAAAAGTATATTTTGTTTTATGTAACCTATTACGCAAATCCCGGGATTGAGACTTTTTATCCTGGAGTTTTCGGGATAGTTTTTTACGGGATCCCGGATCTCGGGATTGACACCCCTAATAGGTACTACAAGTATATAGGTAATAAAAATTTAAAAAAAAAATAAAAATTAAAAAAAATTACATTTACTGAAACAAAAAACATATCAAAAAGAAGCTTTAAGTATTTCCTCGCTTAAAAATTTTGATTGCGGTGATGTGATTCCTGAAACAAAAATTAAAATCTCAAAACAAATACAGTGTTATAAATTATTAAAATCACAGATGCTTAAAATGTTTTTAAAAACTTTTGAGTAAAATATTAGTAAAAATTAAATTAACCTAACAATAATTATAAATAATCTCACAAAAGCGTTAAAAACACAAAAAATTAAAGAAAAAATAATTTACTGATTTTGCGCAGTATAATCTACTGATCCAGAAAACTAAATACAGGAGGAGTAACTTGCTAGGTGGGGGCATGCCAAAAAACGTACGAATATAGTATTATACGGACGCGCAAAATGCTCCTGCGCAGCATTTCAAACAACAATTCAAATTTCAAATCGAATATTTAAACTAGTAGAATAACTTAAATGTTTTGAATAGTTAAAAAAATAGAAAATGTTTAACAATAATAAAACTTGTTCACATACAAAACACACTAGCATAATCTAAATATAAAAAATCCTAACCCTAAATGAACAAAATTATTCTAAATTAAATTATGTAAATATCTATGTAAAACATTCCAAAACAGAGGTAAAAAAGGTCAAAAAATCGTATAAGCTCAAAATAAAGTAAACAATAAAAACAAAGCCAAACAGTAAACCAAAAATGGTTTGTTCTGTGACCAAAATGTTTGATTATAATCTCCTTGGCAAGGAGTACTTGGGTAATAAAATAAGACGTAGGTACGTACCTAAATTTATAATGCTAAAAAACATTTTTATAAAATTAAAAAAATAATACTTCTTTTAATTAAAATACCTACTTAAAAACATAATTAATATAATTCTTTATAAATTTTGCGATATAACATATTTTTATAAGCTTTATAATAACTAAAATATTATTGGAATATAATTACATCTGACAACACGGCCCCACGCATGCTCAAAACTGCATAAGTAGCTAGCCCCTACATTAACCCCACGAAAAGGAAAAGCCTGAATCCAAAATGATATGTATAAAGATATAATGATATGTATAATGTATACATTGTATATGTGTGGTAAGTATATGGAAAACTCCCCCTTAAAAACGAAAACAAGGTCATCTATTCAAAATATAGGGAATAAGCGGTATATGTGTGGTAAGCATGGGCGGATTTAGGCATGGGCATTATGGGCTGCAGCCCAGGCCCCCTACGCGATGCAAATATTTTTTTTTAATATAATTCAGACTGATTTAAAATCAACTATTTAATAGTTGCATAAAGTACCGAGTACACTTTAGTTATGAAAAGTTGGGAAAAATGCTAGAGAAATGAGGCGATTACGAAATGAATTTAGAATCCCTAGTGCAAAACTAAATACTAGCCGGCCTATTGCCTTCATCAAATATTGATATTTCGCTTTATGTTAATTATCAAGGCCGGCTAGTATCTTGTTTTACTTTGCCTTAGCTTTATTTTTTAATTATCTTTTTGAGGAATACCAAAATATAAACAAAATTACATTTCAAACATAAGTAAAAACCTTTTGTTCAATGCTCTTTCCTGTGTCTTTATGTATTGATTGAGGCTGCCTTGTGAGGCAGGCCGGCTGAGGCTACCTCAGGCAGCATGTCCGTAATTTGACAAGTCTGAGCAGTGTTGTAAAATTTACTGTTACTACATTTGTTAATAAAAAAGCAACAATTGTTATGAACACAACACATTATATAAATACCATAAATAATCTTGTGTCCAACATAATTTATTCCTCAATGACGCTAAGAATAAAGGAAACATTACATTTTTTAATTTAAAAAAAGTAAATTAATTGTTTTTTAAAACCTACCTTTGGCGGACTAAACAAAGAACTAGCCAGGGAACCCAAAATATTTCCAACACTACCCAATCCTCCTACAGAACCTTCACCTCCAATTTGAGGCATTTGTTGCTGGTTGCCAAAACTTTGTTGTCCTTGAGGATATTGTCCATATTGCTAAAATAATAAAAGAACAATATTTTTATTCTTACATAGATTACACCATAAGTATTTATTAAACATCAAATGTTTTATAAATAGGCAAATTTAAATTAAAAACTTACTGCGTTATGAGGCTGAAAACCTCCGGGTTGTTGGGCTTGTGGACTTGAAAAAATGCCACTTAACAATTTTTCAGCAACGCCGCTTTTAATAGCACCTGCCAACATTTCTTGAGCTTTATCAAGAATGTTATCCATTCCGGATTCTTGTGGAGCCTTAAAAAATAATAATATTTAGGATGCAATCCATATATACAAACAATTTTGTTCATTTACAATAATTTATTTCAATGTAAAATTATTTACTAAAATAACTGAAAGATATAGGTAAATGTTGGCTTTTTAAAGTTGGATCGAGGTTTAAGCTGTGGTTTCAGAAAATCGCACCGTGGCACCCACTTTACTTTTAATGAAAAACTTGATCATTCAGGAGCAAACAATTTTACGGAAAGGAAACATCCTGTGATCCAACGCATTTAGATAACCTATATTATTTGTGTAAGGCCAATGACATCCTGTGATCCAACGCATTTAGATAACCTATATTATTTGTGTAAGGCCAATGGCTATATAAAAAATTCTAAAGGCATTGAATCAAAAATTATGTCGAAATTATTCCTTAATATTAATTATCTGGGCCAAGACTTTCCTGCGCGAACGCTCACCGACGCAAATTTATAACTATTGCTTGTCTGTTTTTTGAAGTTTGTAGACAATGTTTTTGACTGATTAACCTTCGGATGACCAACCTCTTGTTTTATACATGGATGACCAAGGGGGGTTAAAAATGACCCCTCCTGATTTCAGTAAACCAAAACATGCTTTCAATATTTTAATGTTATATTTTATATTAAATAATGAAAACAAACATTAGTACAACAAATTTTTATTCCAACTAAACCAAAAAAGTAAAAATATTAGTCTAAACCTAATAAATGAAGCAATGAAATTTGTAAAAAAATGCACTAGTAACCACAGGTATTACACAGTATCTTCGAATTTTCCTTGCAGACAAAATGCTTCTTGCATTTATCGCATTTCGTTGTAAACTTTCTGTCGGAAGATCGACAGCAAATTTTACATCGGCCACTTTCTTGGGATTTTCAGCTTGCTCTGCATCTTCAGGATCTTCTCAATATTCTGTTAGTAGCATATTTATTTTAAAAATACTTTTTTAATGAGAAATATTTGTAAATTTTTTTTATGCAAAATATAAAGCATTATATTATAATCAAATAAAAAATAAGCAGTTAAAAATTAAAAATATTAAAGAGTTTATTCAAGAAAAATATACATTGGGGTCAAAATTTACCCCCCTTGGTCATCCGAAGGTTAATGGGTAAGTTTTGGACTTCCATTGTCTTTATGTAATTGTTTGTTTACGACGCGTCGTAAGATTATATCCATAGATAATTATAATTATAATTACACTGAAAGAAATATATTAAAGTTAAATAAAAAAATAATTAGGGCAAATATATTTTATGTTTCATATATGGACTATCACATACATTGCTAAAACAAATATATTCGTTTGGTTAGCAGCCTATTGCTGCCCTAGCAATATAAATGTGTTTCTAGCAATATTTTTTTGCTGTAATTTACTTATAGTTTACATTTTATAGTAAGGGTAAGTTTATTTTTATTTAGATCTAACATATATTCTTTACAATAAATGTATTACAAAATTTAACATACATTCATAATAAACAGTAGTATAAATGTGTAAAGCACTAGTATAAAATTTTTAGTATAAATTTGTATTTACTTTTAGCAACAAATTTCTTTCAGTGTATAATTATAATTGAAACGTCGCGACGTTTCAATTAGATATAATCTCTAATCGTCTTCAGGTAATGATTAACAAATGACGTTATAAAGTTATAAAGTTATAAATATATAGGTATATATAGTTACCAAATTTTCACAACCACCAACCATAAAATTTGGTAACTATATATATACTCACAGCAACGTCATTTGTTAATCATGACCTGAAGACGATTAGAGATTATATCTAACTGAAACGTCGTAAACCAAACAATTACATAAAGACAATGGAAGTCCAAAACTCACCCATTAATCTATATTTTGTCTGCTTCTATAGGTACTTATTTAAACTTATTTAAACATTTGTACAATCATCATAATTATATGGTATACAGACCACCGATTTAGTATAAAAACCAGCACGTCAACTTAGCGGGGGTCCCGGGTTCGGGCAGAAGTTTACCGAATTGATGAAATAGGAGCGTATGTGTTTATTTAATTTTATTACATTTCATACCCTTGAGGGTTAAATGAAACACGTTATTTTTAAATTTTAATAAATAAGATTACACAATTAATAAAACACGAGCATATATATATGCTATTATTAAAACTATAGTTTTAATTGATGGAATTAAGTATTGTTGAGCAATTTGACAATATAGGTAGTTTTAAATATATAGTTTTTTTGATAACCAATTGGGATCGCGAGAGCAGAGGTTGTCAGGCAAAAAAATAATGGAAAAAGATAGACAAAAAAGAAAAACGTCTGTCGAAAAAGAATTGTAAGATTGGAAGAATTGAAGATAAATTGGAAGAGTTTAAATAGTTTGAAAAAGGGTTAAATTGCTTTGGTATGTCTGACAATCACACGTTATTATTTTTAATAAAAAAGAGACAAGTAATATATTGCGTTCAATTATTCAAAGGAATCAGCGGATAAAAATATACAATCCACTTTAAACCGACCAACATTTGGGTCCTTTGATCGGATTTGGATTTATGGAATATTTGTTCGAAATTTATTAATCTATGAAATTTGTGATTTTTCAAAATTGTCAGTTTGCTCTCTTGTACTAACTTGTATCGTTGCTAATAGTACGCATTATTTGCACTCTCTTCCCCTTAAACTTTCGCCAGACTAACCGCCCTCTCATGAAAGCATAGTTTTTTATCATTATACAAATTAGTTTTTGTGAAAATTGACACGAAATTTGCTGGGTTGCTTTAATTTTCTGCTCTCTCGATCTTCTCCTAATTAAATAATTGAGGAGGTGCATTCCAAATCTCGGCTTATCCATATTAGTTGTTTTCGAGCAAAATGTCAAAAACCTTACAAGTGAGTACTAACGCATATCAGGCAAACACAATACTTTAAACGAAATATAAAGGCATAAGTAAAACATTTATGTACCTTGATTAAAAAGGTATAGCTCCAGTTTAAAATAATTTGAAATTACATACGTATAATATACGTATGTAATTTCAAATTATTTTATATGCCGAGTTCTGCATGATATAACCAATAGAAAAGGCAAGTTTTGGAACGATAGTCAATTTGTAAATGAATGTTAAATGGAATAAGGTTAGTGTTAGAATATTATGAACTTTTCAGAGTATAAGGGGATACATATTAAATGAGGAGTGATTTTTCAAAAGGTCGTATTTCCATTTTCAACAATTTTTCAAAAAAATGACTATAACCTGTATAGGTTAGGGCAATATAGATTATTTATATTATTATTATTATTATTAATATATGCCTTTTAACCATACCTTTGGGATTTTGTCAAAAAATTACAATCAAGTAAAAATGGAAATAATGCCTTTTGAAAAATCACTCCTCAAATGTACAGACACCACTAACTCATTTTTATTAAAAAGTGGATAAGCCGAGTTTTGGAATGGACCTCCTCAATTGTTAAAGGCCTACTCGAGTTATGGCACCCACAGTTAAACAACTTAAGATTATACGCTTGTCATATTTTAATGAGTTAAAGGAATTGTTTAAATTAGGGGAAAATTCCTATAAGGATACGACTTTGCAAACGCGATTTAAAATTCGTTATCAGTACCTATTTGCAAGGAATATATGCTGAATTTGAAAAAACTCATTTTGATTTGCTCCGTTTAGAGGCTACTTTCGGATTAAATAATTTTACGTCGTAATATTCGGAGATCCTGAAGATCTTGCTAAGAAAATGTGCATAAAAAATGAATCTTCACCCGCTCGTAATATTAAACTATCAAAAATTGAAGTACCAAAGTTTTCAGGCGACTATAAAAAATGTATTACTTATTTTGATACATTTAACTCATTGATTCATACTAACGCATCTCTTTCAAATATCGAAAAATTTAATCATTTAATTAATTCATTAAAAGACCCACCTCTTTCACTCGTCCAATGTACTCCTTTAACCTCAGAAAACTATGACATTGCTTATCAGGCATTTGAAAAACGATATCTCAATAAAAGGTTAATTGCTGACGCTTATTTTGAAGACATTTATAATGCTCCCCGCATAACAAAAGGTAACTCTAATTCTCAACACCTTAGAAAGTTAATGGATACATTTACTGAAAATTTATCAGCATTAAGACTGCGCTCATCTTACAACTCAAAACTTGTGGCTCAGTGTTATCTAATATTGTTGACTTTATTGATATTTTGGGAGTTAAATTTGAATTTCAGCATATGTTTCTTTTTGTATATGTAATTTATATCCCTCCCCATGTCAGTAGCTTTGACTGGTATTTTTGGAGAATTTTGAAATTGAACTCATTAGTAAAGAAAATGTTTGCATTGTGGGTGATTTTAATATTTCTAATTTGTGCACAAATCATTTGGACAATAAAAGTCAAATCGTTAAACATTTCTTGGAATTTACGGATCTTAATCAAATAAATAATATAACAAATTTTCAAAACAAAAAACTTGATTTAGGCAATGTTAATCGTGAAACAATACCTATTATTAAGGAGGATGGCTATCACCCATCCTTAAATATTGATGTACACCTTAAATACACAAAATTTAGTAATTTTTCATCAAATACAAATATTAAAATCTACAATTTCAATAAAGCAAATTATCCAATGCTATACCAAGAACTGCTTTACACTGACTGGTCGTATCTAAATAATGCTGCCGACGTCAACTGTATGCGATAGACTCTACAAAAAGTTGTATTCCATATTTGATCTATATGTACCGTTATTTAAAAGTTCGAAGTCAACATAATACCATTCTTGGTACACGCAAGATATTAAATATAATTTAAAACTTAAAGGCATTTATCATAGAAAACACAAAAGGAATAATTCTCAATTTTACTACAACGAATTTTTTCGATTAAGATCACTAACAAAAACACAAATTGCAGTAGCATATAACAATCACCTAACCTAATATAGAAAATAATATTCACTCTGATCCTAAAAAT